CCAGGAGCAATTAATACCCCATACCAGCGTGCAGCTATATATATACATATGTACATGCAGCAGTAGCACAAACCTCAACACTCCTAAATCCATGCACTATATATAGTTAAAACCCTATATAGACATCGACTAATTAGGCCCCCAAAACTACACCCCCACACTCTCAACCCCCTAAATCCCTCTATTAAGCCTGTAAAACCCTTGTACACCCTTATATACTCCCAATTTAGTCGAAACCTCGAAGCCAAAACCCCCGAACACCTATGAACCCGGGCCTATATAACCTCGAAACCCAACAAACCCCAAATAGCCTTCAAAAAGTAGTCCGCCCAAAAATGTATCCCGCAGCCACGAATCAAACCTGACCTCAAAAAAGTAGACCGCCCGAAAAAGTAGACCGCAGCCCCGAATCCAACCTAACCTCCAAAAAGTAGCCCGCCCCAAAAAGTATCCCGCACCACCACATACAAAAAAGCAACATGCCCCAAAAAGTAAACCTGGAATCCGAAAAGTTAGACTTTTTAGTGAGGATGAAAAAAAGTATACCAACGCACTTACTGGTAATCGTATAACCCTTCTCCAGAGAGGGGGTCTATATCGAAAGCAGCCATGACAAGTGGGCTGCACCCAGAAGCAGCAGGTTTTGGACTCAAACGCTGAGGAGTCTCCGCATGGTAGTGCCGGAACCTGACCCAGACCTTTGACACCCCCACTTGCCCGCAGCTTACCTTTGGTTAGTAGGGAATGGAGGAATGGGGTACAATTATCACTACTACTATTACTACCACGACCGGTAATGGAAAATCTGGTGCTATAGCAGCAAAGTATCATTAGGATCCATATGCAGGACCCCAATAAGGACCCACGGTTTCCTAGTCAGGCTCCTACAATACCACTAGTAGTGGTACATTACATCTGTATTCTGCAGCTGCGCCCATTCCTAAACCGTAAACCCTAAACCTTAAACCTAAAGCCCACTCTACCGTGACATGGCCTCGGATGCGCAAAGATGTGGGCCGCGAGTGAAGCCTGTGCGTGAGTGCCTGGGCCTGGAACTGCTTCATACAGGGGCCTTCATGATTAGAATAGGGTTCCTTTAAAGGGTTATTATAATCTATAAGGGCACTATGATATAGGGGCCTTAATAGTTAGAATAGGGTTCCTTTAAAGGGTTTCTATAAAAGATTTATAAGGAAGCTATAATATATGGGCCTTAATATTAGGATAGGGTTTGGGGGGTATACTCTGTTATAGTTATACTGGTTCAGCTCGAAGGTCTGAAGCTCTGAGCAGCTGAGCAGCTACGTGCACATTACAGTAGGGATGTTCACGGGTTATAAACAGAGGCAGCCACAGAGGATTTTGGGGGAAATTTTCCGTGAGGTCCCCCGGAATAGCCAGGTCGTGCGTACCCGTCGAAGATGTGGATGTGATCAGCGAGACGCTGCTTCGAGCTCGACCCGTCGTTCTGAGGGGCTACGCCAATGGCTGGAAAGCTCGAACATGGGGCTTGGAGCAGGTTGGGGTTACTCGAAGGTAGTAACTTCTGTGGGGTTCGGGCTCTCTTTTCTCAGGGATGCCTACCTCCCATTGTCTATCGGGGTATTTATGTATGTCTATAATTAGTATGGCAGCCTTCATGATTACAATAGGGTTTTGCGGTATACTATACCCCCCAAAATGGTCTTTATATAGGCATGTCTTAAGGCCTCTATCTTGTTTTCTGGGGGGCCTCTTGTTTTTATGAAGCTACCCAGGTCGCGGCTGGATCTCCCGATGCGCATGTGGAGCTGCAGGTGAGCCGGGTGGGCCAGACTCAATTCCATGGCTTCGGGGGAACTCTGCAGAGGGAGCCGTTACCAAGGCTGCCGGAGGCAGCCTCTGAGGCGATACAGGAGAATCTGGGTTCTTGTTAAGTGATTTAAGTGATTTGATTTAAATTACCAGAATAAGAAAACCGCATTATTTACTATAGATCCCGATTATGGTAACTCAAAATTAGATCCTTTGACAAGAACCCAGGAATCGATCGCTGTATTTGGTGCAGTGTCCGCTCTGGGCGCGAAGTGGGGAATGCCCGGCGCGCCACCTGATGAACGATGTGAACCTGGGGCCCTTCGCAGGTGGCGCGCTTTCCCGAAGGTTGGACTCTGTGAATCTTTGGATGTCTTTGGGCGAGACCCACTCAAACCTACACTACGACTCGAAGCACGGCCTTCTAGTGCTGCTTCGTGGGAGGAAGCAGGTGGAGTTGTTTCCGCCTGCTGCAGCCAGGACGATTGGTGCCTACCCGGTCCACGACCCTCTCCGATCTCACCATTCACGGGCTCCGCACTGTTGCTTGGCGGCGCGCTTCGAAGGATCTTTTTGCGAAGCCCATGCAGATTCCACGCTGAGAGCTGCACGAGGCTTTCAAGCAGACCTTCAGGAGGGAGATGCCCTAATGATTCCGGAAGGATGGTGGCACCACGTGAAGACGCTGGGTCGGACGAACAGCGAGGAGGCGAATCCACCACAGCCTCAGCTGGCCCTGGCTGTGAACATCTGGTGGCGGGGTTATCCGAGAGAGCCGAAGGCTGCACGACCTTATGTCTTGCGGCGCCTCCTTGGTGAGATGTTGGCTCGGAGAACGGCCTCACACTTCCTACGGCAGAAGCTCCGCAAGCCCTGTAAGGCCCCGAAGGTCAGCAAAAGCGGCACGAGCTGCCTCAAGAGCAGAAGACCTCAGAGCACCGGCAAAGTGAACATTTTGGAAGAGCTCTCTGCAGCAGCCCAATCCGAGCCACCGCACCGAGAGTGGCTGATGGCACTGCGCACCTTCGGCCCTGTGCTCCCACATTGCTTGGCAGTGGCGGCTGCATCCGAAGATGTTCAGCAGCAGGAGACCCGGGAGACGCTCCGAGCCTCATGTAGCCGAATCCCAAACAGAGCCATTCCTTCTAACTGTACGGCTCAGGTTTCCGAGGCCTAGTAGTTCAGACTTGGAGCTACGAGCCATCTGCAGAGGAGGCCGTGCACCAGCTCCTTGATGGCCTCTCGCCCGCTCAGGCAGCAGCGCCAGCGGGCTGCACTGGTTCCCCCTATGCCGTTCAGGCCCACACATCCGTCAGCCCAAGTGTGACGGTTATGAGGATCCCTGGCCCTTTTCGCATTTTCTACCGTACTTATCCAAGCAGAGACACAAAGTGCAAGCTGGATGCTGAGCCGTCTCCAAAAGTGCATGGTTCCTGAGCGATGTGGGAGTCTCCACGGAAGTCCCAGGGCCAATGAGATACGCTATACAGCATACTGTAAAGTAAGTATGTATGTACGCATGCATGTCTGTCTGTCTGTCTGTCTGTCTGTCTGTCTGTCTGTCTGTCTGTCTGTCATTGTCTGTCTGCATGTATGTATGTACGTATGTACGCATGTACGTGTGTATGCATGTATGTACGTGTATTATCTTATTAAATGACAGTGACCATAAAAAAGCCCAGGCTCTTGTCCAGCCTGGATGCCGCAGCCTTGGACATGGGCCGCTGGGATCAGGGTCTCAGTCCCTAGGAGTTCTTCCGTTCTTCTGACTCCAGGAGGGTGAGCCCTGAACCCTAAAGTCCTGAAGCCCCAAAATACCTGAACCCTGAGACCCAAAGCCCTAAAGCCTAAAGAATCCTGAAACCCTGCAGCCCTACAACCTAAGGCCTAAGCTGGGTGTGTCATCATCTGAAGCCACAAGTCCTTCGGCTTGGGAGCGGGCTGTACTGTACCTGCCCTCAGTCCTGCTGCCAAGCTCCTGAAGGAAGCCGACTCGCAGGAAAGGGAATGTCAAAGTCTAAACACGGCCCATGAAGTGGAATCGTGGCGGATAGTGGTGGCAGCAGCAGCAGGAGGAGAAGGAGGAGGAGCAGGAAGAGGAGGAGGACGAGGAGGAGGAGGAGGAGCAGGAGTAGTAGTAGTAGTAGTTTAGTAGCCGTAGTAGTCGCAGTGGTAGTGGCAGTGGTAGTCTTGGAAGGAGTAGTGGCAGTAGTAGAGGTAGCAGCATTGGTGGTCCTGGAATGAAGTGGCAGTGGTAGAGGAAGTGGTAGTGGTGGTACTAATACTAGTAGTAGCAGTATTCGTAGTAGTAGTAGTAGTAGTAGTAGTAGTAGTAGTAGTAGTAGTAGTAGTAGTAGTAGTAGTAGTAGTAGTAGTAGTGGTAGTAGTGGTAGTAGTAGTAGTAGCAGCAGTTTTAGCAGAAGTAGCAGTGGAAGTGGGTGCAGGAGTAGGAGGTGGAGGTGGGGTTGTTGTTGCACTTCCCGCTCAGGAGAGACTGCTGCAGCTTTGCGTCTCCTATGGCGCCACTACCCACAAAGAGCCATCGTCGCAAAGTGGGATGAACACCTGCGGAGCACACTGGAAGACATCTTGAGCAGAGCAGCTTGAATGCAACTTACCCAGGAGAGTTTCAAGAGGGTGTGCTGAGCCGTTGAAGTTCTTGCTGTGGTGGCATGCTTTTTGACCCAGCCTGTCATCGACCGAAGAGACACGTTCTTGCCTTTGTTCTGGGCTTGTGCGCAGGTGCTCTCAACCACATAGCCCATGATCGTCTTGGTGGTTCCCATCGCCTGAGATGTCCGCGATTTGGCGAGTGTCCTGATGCTTCCCAGGAAACAGGGAGATCACATCGAGCCTGCTGTCAGCCCGTCATTGAGAATGGAGATGCTGCTGGCAGATTCCGTACGGAAGTTGCTTAGCAGGCCAGAAGTTGTGGAGAGGCGCGAGAGCATTCTGGCAGTTGCAAGGCGGTCAAGGGCAAGCAGGAAGACGTCGTCAGGTCCAAGAGGTGAGGGCCTTCATACTCAGAAGCTCAACCTGTACATATGTCCTCCGAAGCCGGTTATGACTATCGGCTATAAAAAACGTGGCTCCTGGAGTCGTCCTGCAGTGCCATGATGTACGTGTTGAGCAACCCCACTGCAGCTTTGCCTGGCGCTTTTCTGTATAGAAAAGGTGTGTGTTCAGCCACGCTGCCCTCTCTTGAGGTGGCACCGCCCGGGGCGGGCAAAACCACAGCAGTGGCCTCAGAAAGGATAGGGAAATCCAAAGTTCAAGGTAATGTGCATAAGCTTCCAGAATGCTTCAGTTTACTGGACATAGGCGGTGGGTGCCTTCCTTTATTGTCTTTGGACACACCTCAAGTCAAGCGCAGAAACTGCAAGCGGCATTGCCTGTTTGATCTTTGTGTGGTGTACAGTCAGCTGTCGGACTGTTGGACCGTATATAGCAGTGCTTGAAGATTTTGGATCAAGTTTGCTATTAGTTGGACCGTTGGTTTTATCATATCGTTATTTGTACGATTACTCTCACCGCGTTTACCGCTATTTTTAATTCTATCATTGCCATTGTACTTGTTATTATTGTCAGTAGTATTACCATCAATATTGTTACTGTTACCATTCTTACTGATGTTCTGAAGATTTGCTATATCCTCATTCCTCTTACGATCATTGGGCATTTAAGCTTTCGGGCATCAGCCAGCGGCTCGGAAGTGCACTTGACACTCTTCACGGTCGTGAGGGCCTGCGCTGCATCTTCCCGAGCCAACTATGGCAGTACACGAGAGAGTAGTAAGGATACCAATGTTGATAAGAAAAGTTGTAAGAAAACTAAGAGTCAACAATCCAACAATATTAATGTTTTTGTTAACAAATAATAATGCCCTGGACCCCTGCAGGGTATCATCTCTCACGCTGTCTGCGCTCCACTGTTGTAATCTATAGTCTCCAGAGGCCGTGCCGCTGGCCCTCATGGACGATCTAGCAGATTGTTGGTGGCTTAGCCATGTGCATCGCTGGAATTCCACAACATGCTGGTACTTTCTTATTTGTGCACAATGATTACCACCGCCGCCGCAGCGGCTAATGATGATAAGATGGAGATGGATGATAATGTGGCGGGTCGGTTCGTCATGCAGTCAATTTGGGTGAAGTCGATGTTCACAAAGCCCTTCAACTCAACTCTGCGCACAGCCCTGAACCCTAAGCCCTATATAGACCCTAGACATCCCTAGACCCTAAATCCTAAACCCCAAATCCGGTTACCAAGGCGGTCCTTCAGGTCGGATTGTGGTGACGGAGCCCCGGCGTGTGGCTGCGCGTGCCGGGCACTCGGAGAGACGGCCACAGCACGCGTTCTTTTGGGTATTCGGTCTTTGATCCACTGCTGGAGTTGGAAGACTCTTTGATGGTGTTTCGTAGACAATTCACATTTTATTTTTTTAACAGGCTCACGCTGTGGGTAGGTTGGCTCAAGCGAGTTTTCTTCCGCAAAACCATCAATCATCCTTTCCCGGCACCCAGCATCAGTTTCTGTGAGACGTTCTATCCCACAGCGTCTCCCCCAACCTTGCCGGGGAATGGATACATGGGTGGTTGTCAAAATTATGGTCCTTTTTTGGGGTACCCTAAACATTAGGTGCCGTATTATAATAGGGACCCAAAAAGGGGACCTAATTTTGACAACCACCCACATGACTGCTGTGAAAGATGATGATGATGATTCTGATGACCCCGTACTGGAGGATCATGGGACTTAGTAACTAGGGTTATAAGTCCCTTAATGAGGGTTATAAGAAAACTATGAGTATATAGTTACCCCAATAATGACCCTAGTTACTAAGTCCTATGACCCCGTAGCTGCAGCAACATTGGCAGTCGAAGCCTTGACATCTCCAAAGGTTTTTCCCTTTTGAAGCAGGATTTAGGGGTTAGGGTTTAGGGTTTGGGGTCTGTTCCCAAAATCAGTAGTGCAACCCCTGATGTTGTGGGCTCTACTCCCAAAATCAGTGGTGCATTTGGCCGACTGCCACCTTGCAGTTCAGCTTCCCTAAGCAGCTGCCAGTAGGGGAGTAGCCTTTCAGACCGAATAGCCCAGTCTCAGCCCCACCCGCATAGAATAGACCGTATAATCTAGTTTAGTATTGAATTTCGACTATAATTACATTTACATGTTATATGTAACATCTCAAAGCTCGACTGTCGGCCACTGAATTCCCGGCACTCGCCACTCTTGCGGCATCCTCGGTTCAAGGGTGCATCTTGTGAAGGCCGCTGCGAGGCGCATGGCGGCGCTTCGGGAAGAGCCGGTGTGGAGCCCAGAGCCATGGGGTTCAAAGGCTCATAAAATGTATGGGATATAACTGAAAGCAGTATTCAACTGAAAGCATAACTCAATATCTATGACTACCCAAGTCTTACATGTTATATGTAACAATTGAGAAAAGGATATAATGTATGAAGGACCTGGACGGAGGGAGCCTATAGTGCCTATAGGGTTTCTTGAGCTTGGGAGTTGGTGGGCCGAGCCTTCAGAAGTGGCAATGAAGAGCTACATCCTGGAGTAGCTTTTCGAAACAGTACCGATGGTAGCGCTGACCGCTTCAAATCTGGGTTTTGGGGTGTCTGTCGGGCCACCAGCGCAAGTTCACCAAAGCTGCGACGAGGTGCGGCCAGAAACACAGTTCTTGTTGCGACTCGTAAGCTGACGAAACCAGGCGATTTGCTGGTAAAACCGGACGAAGTGGGTGGTTAAAGCTTGAGACTTCGTGCTCTTTTGAGACGTCCCGTCCAACTCGCAATGCTCAAGGTGGAAGCAGTTGTGGTAGCCTTACAGAGACAGGTCTTTTCTGGCTTGTGAGAAGCAGAGATGTCGGAGCGCGCTGCAGCAGTTGCTGCCTTGCTCGGCGCGGTCCTAGTGCCACTTTGTCATAGTTGGGTAACATTTTTATGGATACTTAAACCGTCTTAAATTAACTTAAACCCAATAAGGAATACAAATCTAAATTTTTACTCCTATCCCAACCATGAACTAGGCAAGTCCCGCTCATTCACTCCCCTGCGCGGGCTGCCTGGTGCTGGCCGTCAGAGCCCCCGGTCTGTGCGGTGCCAACTGTGGCAAACGGGAAGTGCGTAGATGACAACAATGCCACGCTCCTGGGTTCTTGTTATGGACTTTTGTTTAATAAAGTTACCATAATAACAATACTAGTAATAATAGCTATAACAGGGATCTATAGTATAGAATCTGTAGCCAATAGTAGGGTTTCCTTATTACAGTAAGTCAAACTACATGATTCAACTAATTACAGTAAGTTAAGCTACATCCTTTAACCAGAGCCCAGGCTCACCACCATGGCTCCTGAAGGGGTCTGTACCCCGATGTGTGATGACGGATACGTCCTGGTTGGCAGTTGCACGCAGTTGCAGTGCCCTCGCTCAGGCCGCTAAGAGCATCCTACAGTAGCAGCCAGAAAGTTGGAATATCATTATCGTAACCCCTTTAAAGTAAATTATAGGGGATCCTACCATTAATCCATATTCCAACTTTCTGGAGTTCCCTTTAGGTCTGAGAACATCTGTAACATGAATGAACTCCTGCAGGCCCAGAACCGGGGTGCTTGCAAGACCTGGAAGATGAGACTTGGTGGGCTCCGTGTGGTTTTGGTGCCGTCTGCATTGAAAACGGAGGGAGCCTGGGCCAGCCGGCATGGGAGAGATTCGGACACTTCCGGAACCTCGGCATATCTTGACTCCCTACCACTACAGTAACCCTCAGAGATCTTAAGGCCTTAAGGGTAGTTCTCTAGATTGGTGTCCCTTCGTAGGTCCGCAAAATAGTACGACACCCTTATAAAAAGGAACCCTCAAAGGGACCCTAACTTAGAGAGCTACCCATAAATCCTAAGTATAAGTCTTACAAAAGGGACCCACGGGACCCTAACTTAGCGAGCTACCCATATGTCCTAAGTATAAGTCTTGCAAAAAAGGGACCAAAGGGACCCTAACTTAGAGAGCTACACATACAGTAGCCGCCGGAAAGTTGGAAGGGGGCAATTGGAACGGTTGATGCGGCAAGGGCAGCATCTTCCCACTTTGGGTCTGGCTGGGTCCCATCTTCCAACTTTAGGTCTCGACGTTGCACCACGGTTTTCCAGGTTAGAAGGCGTCTCCTTAACCGTAGCCTCAGTTAACTTTATTTTCGGGACCGCAGATTGCAAATTTCCAACTTTACTGTTCCCCCTTAAATTCCATGCACATCTCTGGATGAGCGATAGCAGAAGGCGTGACGGTACCAAAAGAAATGGCTCCAAGGTGAAGGTCCAAGGTAAAGCAGCTTGTGAAAGCGGGGTCAACCGAAGGCACCCAGTGAAAGGCAGCAAAGTGAAGGCTCCAAGGGTGAAGGCACGCGTTCGGCACGTGAAGGCACCAACACTGAAGGCTCCAAGATGAATCAGCACGCGAAGCTCCAAAGGTGAAGGCAGCAAGTGAAGGCACAAAAGTTGGAAGATTTCAAAGGTGGAAGAAAGAAAAGTTGGATCACCTGTTTTGTCCATGTTACAGGGTGCTGCAAACTTGGGTGCGCATCTTCCAACTTTGCGGCTGCTACCATATATCCTAAGTACAATTCTTATACAAGGGACCGCCAAAAGGACCCTAATTTCAAGAGCTACCCATATATCCTATGTATAAGCAGGTAACCCTAAACCCCTAAACCCCTAAACTCCTGAACCCTAAACCCCTAAACCCTAAACCCCTAAACCCTAGTCTGAAAGGTGCTTGGCTGAGGGCAGCTCGGAGCTCGTGGGCGTTGCGCGCTGCGATGGCGTAGCGACGGCCACGGCGCCACCAGAGCCCGAGGGCCTTACGGACGCGGAGATGCTGGACTATGGGACGTGGCTCGACTTTATAAGAACAATAGTATTAGTAGCAAAAATAGTACTAATACTAATATTCATACTAGAGGGTAGCTGAAGTCATGGGGGTGGGATATTTGCTTCAGGGATCCTGTGATCTAATGCCCAAACACCGCAACAAAGCACAGTAGCATGCGACATCGCTCTCTTTCCCCGACCTAAGCCAAATGACACAATTGGCAGCATCATATCACCACCTGGACGTTCCTCCTTTTCGTTGTCTTTTCCCCAGCCCGGACCCAGAACCCTCAGGCCTCAAACCTATAACTATGTATACCTTCCGTACCTTGTAATGGTAACTTAAAGTAAGTCTCTTGACAAGAACCCAGAATACCCTTGTAGAGCCACAACCCCCTGGAACCCATGAACCACCGCAGTCCCGAAGTCCCAAAGCCAAGTGCCGAAGGCTTGGCATCCTCGGCGGCCTGATTGTGGTTGGCCTGCTCGGGGCAGTCACTGGGCCTCTGACTTCTTGAAGTCGAGAATCAGACGGGATCTCCTGGAAGGGGAGGGTCGGAAGACCGGGTGTATCGTATTTAGGGGTGCAGACTGTAAGGATCCTACTATTTGGGAGTTTGAGGTTACGGAAGAAAGGGTGTGCATGCAGGCGAAGATTGTTGCCGTGCAACGCTTGAAAATGACTTGACTAGTATCTTTTTCAATGCTGACCAAGCTATCCGCTCCGTGTTGCTGTAGCTGTTCACTGCTTCTGTACCCTCCTACGTGACGGTTTTGCTTGTCATGCTACATTGTGTAAGTTAACATTGGCTGCTGCGTCGTATGTGTTGCAAATGTTCGTCTACGCTGCTAGCTTGGAATCGTGCATACACAATATCATATAATATATTTCTCCAGCATGACAGATGCGTGATGAAATATCACAGTGCGAACTCGCATTAAAAGCCAGGCTAGTTGGCGAACACTGGCAAGGTCATACCACCTATACCTATACATTAGGTGAGGCCATGTGCATTGTGCACAATGTATCCTACTACATGCTGCGAATCGCAGTTTTCCGGACTAGCGGACCATCGACCAACCAAAGTCTTGTCGGCAGGGGCTGTGGGGTGGTGTTTTGCTTGACAAACCTCACATAGCACGCGGTGCATAACTCTTGATGTTGAGCTCAGATGGTTTGATACAAAAAAGAGTACTCGTAGGCTTATGCGTACTGCGTATACATAATATAGGTACATCATAACAGCACTGTGTCGAAGACTTCAAGGCGAGACGGCCTCCCAGCAAATTTGGTTTAATCATCAAAAGGCGGTGGTGGAGGCTCTGGGCGTGGTACACGTTGCAATGTAGCGGTCGGAATACTTAGTTATACCAGTTGCAGGCTTTTTGCTAGAGTTGTAGGATACGATACCCCCAAAACCCAATTCTGATGATGAGGCCCCTATTTTACCTCTGCATCATCGAAGCTGGACTGAGGCGATCTCCTACACTGCAGGGGGCGGCATGGCTCGTTGCTTGCCGCTGGGATTTACAAGTTCCGTGCTTTTGAAACTGTGTAGATGAAGCTTGCAGCTTGCCTGCGGGAAGATGGTGCTGTCGGTCATGTCGTCATCGTCGTCACGGTGACGTGCTGGTGAGGTGGCCATGTCACCATGATGATGGTGGTAGTAATGGTGGTGCTGATGGTGACAGTGAAGGTGATGATGCTGTCGGGGTGGTGGCGACGCTTTCAATGCGATGCTGCTGATGATGTTGACGACGTCAGCGATCATGAGTGTCATTGCAATGGTGGTCATGCTGATGGTAGCAATGATCTTGTCGATGATGTTGACGATGCTCATGGTGCTGCGGGTCCTGATGTTGATGCCGGTACACATAAGGGCTGTCATGGCGATGGCCACTTCATCAAACACTCCTTTCGACGGTCCCCAGTTCCAGGTTCATGCCCGGCCCAATGCAGTGGTCCCCCAGCAACAACTTCGGCATCTTGGCCGTGCTGATCGCGCTCGTGGGCGCTTGCCTGCTCCCCCAGGCAGTTGGATTGTTAGATGAACACTGTTTGTATATCCAATGCTTTCGTCTGCATGTGCATGTGCAAGATAGCTGCCCGAAATCCTCAAGACGTGCACGTTTCTTACGCTACAGCCAAGTCTCATGCAGCTTCTCCTCATCGCTCCTCTCCTCCTGCTCCTACCACCATCACCAGGACGACGACGACCACTACTTTACTCGTACCTGTTACCGCCACGACGACGACGAAGACGACGACGACGACTACTACTAGTACTACTTCATGTATCTGACGCTGCTCTTTTCCTCACTAACCGCGAATCTTAGCACATCTTACAAGAAAATCTCGAGCTTGCTTTTTCTTACGTCTGTGGTTTTAGCATATTCCACAACAAAGTCTCTGAGGTAATTGTTCGTATTTGGGA